ATTTAGCTAGAGAAGAGGAATCGAGTCCATCTGAAACAGCAGGCAGTGAAAGGGATGAAGCCAAAGCAGAGGCAGCTTGTGATTCTGAGCCTGACATTTTGGATGAATTCACAGCTTATGAACATGATGTTCTGCTTATTGATGTGACCCAAGATGACCCCGAGCTGTTTGAAAACTTGCCTAAGAAAAGTCTGCTGAAACTGGGTCCTATGCGGGTCAGCGAGGCCCCTAAAACCAGACCTGCTGGAGTGAAGCAGATGCTGTTGCCAAGGATAGATGGTGCATCACTGAAGTTTGAACGAAGGTAAAGTTTCATATTTGTTAACATCGCTACATAGTCACAGATTATTCTGTTTATCAGTGAAACTGCTATGTGGTTTGTGTTTCAGATTAACACCAACTTACAGTCCTGATATCACAGGTATGGCCAGTTCAGCAATGCAAATCCATTATATTATGTCTTTCAGATTTTATGATGCAGTGTGGTGCTAGTTGCTCATTTGTATTGATGCATGTACTTAAGCTGATGCTGCAAACCCTCAAACTGGGGACTTCCTAACCAGCGGCTAGTATGAAAAGGCACTGTGAGGCCACGACACACCATGGAAATGTTATAAACATTTTGAAAAAGAGATCTTTCTTCATCAGCTGTGGAATTTGCTTAAATGTGGTGTGCTTTATCCAGAGATCACCTGTAATTTTATTATTTTTGTGTGTGTATTTTACAGAGGAGAGCAACAGCAGACCATGGAGACCTCAAAGTAGAAGCATCACTTTCAAAACACAAGACAACACATGGCCTGCTGCAGACAAGCAAACCAGAAACATGGTAGTGGGTCTACAGCAACTCTGCATTGTGCCATATAGTGCACAAGAAACACACTTCACAGGATGGTTTTCAGCAGTAACAATTTTTTTTCACTTAATTTACACATACAATATAATATACATACTTTTCTTCCTCTGTGCTTGTAACAAATGTTAAGGAGAAGTGCAAAGAAGCCCTCAGAGGGACTTGTTCAAGGCAAATTATTAAGCAAAACTTCATGTTTACTATTGAAATATACAGCTTTATTAAAATTTACAATAATGAAAAAAAGGGAACAGATTTAAACAATAAGTGTAACAATGAAGATGGGAGCAAACCTTTTAATGCCTTGTTAAATTGTAGTGGTAGAGTTCCATATCACTGATCCTCTGTGATTTAATCCATGTTGGATGGATGGGAGCCATTAGTTTACAGGTAATTTGAGTCGAATAATTATGAAAGTGATGGTTAAATGAAAACAGTTCATGAGAGTGAGAATGAAGAATTTTGTTGAGTTTCAGATGTCTTAGGCGCTTTTTTTTTTTAAATTTAGCTAATTCGGTACATGTTAGCTATGTAGTTACTTGTAAAATAGGCTACGTTCTGCTATCTCTATTGTTAGCTTTCTCAAAATGTACTCCCCAACAAAGCTATAGCCCACTTCATGTATTCTCTGTGGAGGCTGTAACTACTGTTCTGAGGTGACGGCACAGAGAAATATTCAGTCAGCTGCAGAAGACCACACGAATGTTCGTCCCAACACTGATTGCTGATTGACAGATCATTCCTTTTGCCAGCATACGTTTCATTTTGAGGTCAAGTCACCTCTTGGTTATTTTTCAGTGCATTTAAATTAGTTTTTACATTCATTCTGATATTTCTCCTTTGTACATTAATTTAGCTGAGGCGCTGCCCCTAAGCCTTTCTAGGCAGGGAAAACCCTGGAATGAACACTCGCCCACACTGCTATAGTACGACCTCTCTGATGTAATAGGTGATAGAAATCTCATTGTCCTGGTCAAACAGGCTTAGTCATTATAACAGAATGTACACTGTATAACGTTTAATCTGTGTTTTTGAACAGGCCCAGCCTGATCCCAACAACAGTCAAGTCAGCAGAAGCCTGGAAAGGTACCTGTCTGCACATAGTAAAATGTTTTCCGTGGCCAGTTAATCATACAGTGTTGAGATGAGAATTGTGTTTCTGTCCTGTAACAGGAGCCAGCCCGTCCTGACCGTGAACTCTGTGCATAATACCCCCCCACTTATGACCATAGGAAATGGTGAGGGAAATTAAAAATGGTGTAGACGATGACCTAGAAGATAGGACCAGTGATTTTTGAGGAAAACTGAACTGTTGTGTTTGACTTTTCTTTGGCTCCTTTTGCTCTACACAGCAAACATGGCAGAGTTTAGACGCCAGAAGTTTAATGTAAGTCTTCCATAGAGTCGTACAGTCATTGTGTTTAGTATGTTGTATTTTCTGGTTGCTATATTTTAAAGAATCGGACTAAAATGAATCAGAGATGCAAGCAACATTTTAAACTGAAAATTCTTGTTTGGTGTGAATGCCTCATTAACACGGGCTCTTATGTCCTAGTGTGATTTCAGCAAAACATATGTTCATAAAAATAAATGTGAAATATTCTTATGCTTTATATGCAACAGTCTGTTAATTCTGAAAACAACATAGTAACTAATTATTGTTGAAGTGATTAGAGCCTCCTATCTGATTTAAATGAAAGAATGCTGTCTGATTCAATAGACATCTGTTTGGTTTGATTTTTGTGCTGTCTGATGTGAAATTATAAATAATTTTGCAATGTGAGACTTTTCACAGATTAAAACAACTTTAGAATAACTAATTTAACACTGAATTAGATTACAGTAGCCATTTAATTCAATCTTTAATCAGTGTGCATACTTGCAACGAAGTGTTGAACCTAACAATATGAACGTAGTTACATACAATTTTTTTAAAATCCAACTCCATCGAAGTTAACCTATTTTTTCATGGGCAACTGTTTAAAATAATAATAATGAAATGAACTGTAGGCTGTCAAATTTGCAGAAAGATCCGATTTTTCTATTTTTATTTATTTTTTTACTGATGTGCATTTAGGTTGAGCCTAATTAGTGAAAATGTGTCCTCGATGTTTAGCTGAGATTTGTTGTGTTGTCATCCACAGACACGATGCTAATTATGTTTTTAGTAATGCAGCGACCTTTCTTCTAAACCCTCAGTACTGCAAGAACTACTTCAGTGAATCACTGTCCTGTGGGTTCAAGATGTGTCGGTTTCAACATGTACCTCTGGAAGGCGACGAGAAGGTACGCTCAGGGGGGAATTGGTGTTGTCTTAGTTGGCAAGTAGTATGCCACATCTTAAATATGTTTCCTTCATCAAGCAAAGTAGATTAAGTAGACAAGTAACATTTGTATGGAACTGTAAATGTAAAGTGTTGCTTCTTTTGCAGTGCAGTACAAGTCGTTTCTAGCACTGACATTTGATGAGCGAGGCAACATCACCCTCTGCTGTGCCGTTTTCTGTAGTTCCATAGTTAACTTCAGAATCATGGAGTGATTTTGTTTTTTCCCCTGTTTTTCAGTTTTGTATTGAAACTGTGATACGCTTCTCCAAAAATCTAATGTGTCTACAGAAAGCAGGTAGGTTTACACTCTTATTGTGTTTCTCCCAAATGATGTGCTTTGTATGAATGGTTTTAGCTCTTTTCCCTTCAGCTCACTATCCCCAATAACCAGTTTTTGTACCATCTGGTCCACCTCTCTTTGTCACTCCATGTGTCCCTTTGTCATCAGGGGCTGTGTTTACAGGCTACTACCAGAACAACCCACCAGGAGTATACTTCTCCATGCCAGTATTGCTGTCACTCCTCTGGGCTCTGCTCAAAGCCAGCATGCTGCCTGATGTCTTCTCAGTCCTCAGTGTCAGCTTGACCCACAAGTTAGTGGTCAGTATGGCCGTCATCTGTCTCTTAATAATACGGTCATGCTGCAGTACACCTTGTAGGCCAGTAGAGGGAAGAGAACATGTTCTCTTTGCTTGAGGAGAGGAGTGCTGGAATGTTCATTTTCAGATTGCCTCTGTTGGCATAGAAATAGATTTTAAATCTACCCCCTCTCCCTCTCTTGCTAGCCCAACCATGAGTTCCTGCTGGCCCTCTTTAACTTTGTCAGAGAGAAGGGTCTGATGGGCTTTGTACCCGAGCTTCTGCGGCTCACGTTCAAGGTAGCTCAGTTCCTCCAAAGTTCACTTGCAGTAAGGCAGTAGGGTCAGTATCTTTGTGTGTATGCAGACAAATTCATTGTGTGTATGTGCTGACAGATTGCCAGTGCAGGTCTAGAGCTGAATCTGGACTGCCTTGACTGTGTAAAAAATACTCCTGAGTTCCAGCAGATAGTGCGTCCAGCTGCAAGTGTTTCAGTGTCTGTCAACCACAAGTAGGTGTAACTTCTTCAGGCCCACATGTCAGTCACATCACTTTAATAAAAGTAGCTACTTATTCATGATTTTTATTTGTGATGTTTTATTTTTTTACTAGCAGTATATTCTGCTGAATGAGATGTCTTTATTATAAAAGGTTATCCACCAGTGCACCCTGTCCAGAGTTCCTTTATTTGGTCCACTCCATTGTGGAACTAGAGGTTTGTTCTTCAGTAAATTACCTTTATCAGTTTGTCCTCAAGGACGAAATGGGGTTTCTGTTCATTCTATCATTATATTCGAGTCTTCCTTTCTGTTTCCTGTGTGACAGCTTTGTGCCAAGCAAGAGGACTGGAGGCGGATGGGGGAGGTTTTCAGGTCCATCTGCCAGTTCAAGCAGCATCCCAACCAAGTGGAGCGAATCAGCGGCCGCATTGCCATAGCACTCCTGTGTGAGAGCAGAGACAAGCTGTCACTGCCCTTCGCTACCTTTGCTGAGACAGGTATAAACCTGTTACATAAAAAAAAGTTGAACTGAATTTGTTCTGGCATATATGACAATCAGGGGTAGGAATCGTTGGCAAACTCACAATTTGATTCCAATTCTTGGTGTCACAATTTCCTTCAGAATGATTTTTGATTCAAAACCAATTCAGCCCAATAAAAAAAGAAGGACACTATTTTGGCTTTGACTTTGTGTCAAACTGTTGATTTCTGTCCTGCTACCTAGCAGTATGTATAGTATTTGAAATTCTAAGTATTTAAGGTTATTAGAATTAGCTTCACCTTTAGCAGCTGCAGTGTGTGTTGCTGAGCTGCTCTCGTTTATAGGTTTGTTGCTCCACTACGCTAGCACCAGTCTGTTGGTGGTGGGCTATGAAGTATTCACACAGTCCTCCACACTTGTCTTTAAAAGCTCATTATCACACACTGAAATGATTTCCTTTTCTGAAGATGAACTGACATTACAACCACAGATGTACAACACAACTTGTGTGTGTGTGTGTGTGTGCTGTCCATGTACTACACTGGCTTTGCAGTTGAGTTCCGCCTTTTTTGTTCCATCACTGTTATTACAAAAATTGATTTTTAGCATTTGTGAATCAATTTAGAATAGTATAAGATGTGACTCACGATTCTAATGTGAATCATTTTTTTTCTTCCACCCCTAATAACAGTACATAAGGATTCCTCATAATATGATTGTTCTCATGTTTTAGTGTGTCAGAATGAAGCAGAGGACAGTATGATAAGGAGCTTTTTAGGAAGAATTGGAGTCTCACTCATGTTAAGATACCACAAAACCCATCAGTGGGCCAAGGTAAGTGCACCTTAAGTGTCTTGTATGTGCTTCACATGCCTGTTTCCTGCAGATACAGTATGTGAGGGTCATGCTTGACTTTCTCATTGTCCATCATTTTGACAGACAGGGTCATAACTTATTACCTGTTCATTTAGTATTTTAATAAGACATTTAAGACAATTTAATTTTCATTTTTTTTAAAAGTTAATATATGGAACAAGCTTATACTTTTCATGTCAACACCATATGAAGCAGATGACATTTTTATCTGCAGTGACAGCAGAGGCCACTAAAAACACCGTGCCATTGTGCATAAGCAAGCAAATATCAACACTAATTTTACTAAATTTGATAAGTACCATTAAAATTATGGAGATGCTGAGTAAATGCCCAGAGTTCCACTGTACTTGTTTAAATGACAAACTCAGTTCTATTCTATTCTATTCTAAAATATGAACAATCCATTTACAAGAAAGTGGGCTAACTGAATTGAACTCAGCTGACCTGCTGTAGCCTGCTGCAGAGGTGATTGCCACTAGGTTTCTCATCACCATTATAATTTTGATCTGGAAGCTAAACCCGCACTCTGCTGCCACATGGAGACTGGACTTACCAGCTCCACTTCAACAAGAGTTATGAAGTCAGGGAACATTTTTCTGGGGATTTCACATACTTCACCAGAGGTGCAGCTGCACCCCTCTATGATCCATAGTGGTCACAGATGCGCCCCGTGGCTTCCAGTTTGTGGCTCTTCAGCATGCTGTCAGCACCTGGGTAGCGAGATGCATTTGGTACAGTCTCTGATGTCCTTCATCCACTGCATCAGTTCCTCCTTTTTCACATCGTTTATCAACGTCATAGCAACTAGTGGGCTTTTTAGTAGCCTGGTGAGGGAACAAATGTAATCTATTATGAAGTGTAGTTTTAGCAACATGGTTTCAATGAGACAGAAGTTTTACACATTGCACAGAACCAGGAATTATATCAATCACATCAGCTGCTATTTTTTTTATCTTTGTAATCACAGCATCACATTTTTGTAGTAATTAAGTATAAAGCAAAAATTTTTTTTTTTGATTTATTCTTTCAAGCATGTAAGGACAGTCAATATGTCAACACACATAATTTCACACATATCCACAAATGCATTATCAATTTGCTTATACCTAGTACATGCTTGAACGGAGTAGGAAGAAGTCAGACTTATCCAGTCCTACCCCATGACATCATCTTACCATCATTGGTTTGCAAGCAGTATCTCTACATAAATAATTCTCTTCTACACCATACAAGTAATATACTAAAGAAATATTACATAGTGTTAACATTCTTACACCACACCCACAATGTTACATCTGATTAATCATTAATCCTGTTCTTGCATATATCTTGATTGACACATACCTTTATATTTATGTTTAAACTCATCAATTCTATTACTATTTTTCATGTCCACAGTTAAATTATTCCATAGTTTTACCCCACTTATGGAAATACAAAATCTTTTTTTGGTTGTACGTATAGCATGAATTTTTAAATTTAACTGACCCCTTAAATTGTATCCCCCTTCCCTTTCATTAAATAGTTTTTGAATTCCACCAGGTAATAAATTGTTCCTGGCTTTATACATAAACACAGCAGTCTTGTATTCCATTAAATCAAAAAAATTTTAACAATTTAGAGTGTATGAAAGCTACATTGGTGTGATCCCTATATCCCATCTTATGCACAATTCTTATCACTCTTTTTTGTAATATATACAATGGTTGAAGTCAGCTTTTGTATGTGTTTTCCCAGTTTTCAACGCCATACTCCATGTATGGTAAAATCAGTGAAGAATACAAAATACGTAGTGCTTTCCTGTCCAGAATATATCTAACCCTTGCCAATATCGATATATTCTTTGCTGTTTTGTGCTATTTAGTGCTGAATATATCTGATATGAGATTTCCAGGTGAATTTATCAACTATGACACCTAGAAATTTAATTTCATATACTCGTTCTATATTAGCTCCCCCGATTTTCACTTGCAGTTCGTTATCTAGTCTACGATTCCCAAATACCATAAATTTAGTTTTATTCAAATTCAGAGATAGAATATTACTATCACACCATTTCTTTATTTTCTCAAGTTCCTGTGAAACCCGTCCCGAGAGTTGCTGTAGGTTTTCCCCGGATGCCCATATGGTAGTGTCATCAGCAAATAAGACCACTTTCACTAAATCCGAAACCTTGCATATATCGTTAATGTATAATATGAATAATTTAGGTCCCAAAACTGAACCCTGAGGCACTCCACATACAATGTCCAGATCACTCGAATGATATTCACCCAACTTCACAAATTGACGCCTCTGTGTCAAATAACAACTAATCCAATTCAGAGACACTCCTCTGATCCCATATTTTTCTAACTTGCTATATTAGCATGTATATATTGTTTTGTCATGTATATATTGTTTTGTGTGTGTACATGAATGTAGGGTCGGAGGGTGGTGGAGGTCTTAAGTTCAAAAGTCACATACTCAACACTGAAGGGATTGTTTGGGAATGAGGATAGGGCTTCACGCTGCTACCTGGTCACTGTGGCTACCGAGCTCTTCCTCCTGAGTGGCAGCGTGGAAGGAGCTCTAAACACACTCCGAGGTAACGGCTCTGACTCTCATCGACTGCCTTAACTGGACTCATAATGCATCAGAATGAAACCTGTTGTTCTACTTGGGGGTTCTTTGTTTGTGCATCTTTTCAACCAGAAAACAAATGGTTCCTGTGTTCATCCTCATGGCCATGTGAGCCTGCTGATCTGGAGAGTAGGAGCTGTGTCTTGATGCATCTGTCTGAGAAAACGTCTCACAGAGACACGCTGGAGGTTCTCTGTAATCTGCCTGGGATTAAAGAGCCAAACAGTGAGCGAACACAATGTTTAGATAGAGCTTTAAACCTGGGGCCTGTACCACAAAGTGAGTTCAAATTAGTCTGACTCTCTTTGGGGTTATATAGCTTCATTGAGTATAATATTGGCCAGCCTGAATAGCTTGGTATCACAAAGCTGGTTATAAACTGGCTGCATTGTAATCTGGGTTTTCCTATCAGGCTACGAGCGTGTTCATGTGAAAGAGGCAGAGTTGATAATTAGAAGCGACAGTAGCATAAGTGATGTAGGCCACTGAAAATAATATGATGGAGCAGTAAATCGTTCATACCCAGAGCAAAAGGTGATGTTACCATGGGTGAACTGTAACTGTAAACAATCATTAGCAGAGTATTATAATAAGGGTCTTATTCAGTGAGTGTTGTGTTTTTTTTCTCCTTTGTCTTATGACAAAGGAGCTGTTGTCAAAAAATCCAACAGTTTCTGTCGCCAGAGAGGAGAGTACACTGGGGAGGAGTTGGACCTCAAGTCAGATGTTCATTTATATTCATGGGAAGTATTTAGCAGAGTATAATTAGTCTTTTAATATAAGACCATTCTCACATGCCTTTACTTGTGCTATTCTGAACTGCAGTGATGGAAACCTGCAAGAACAGCGACAGTTAGGAATTCAGTCCATGATCAAGTAATTTTATGCATTTGAAATACGGTGCTGATCATCATGAAGGCTCACTCAGTTTGTTAGAAATCCAGAAACCCTGAAACAGTACAACGATATGACTAATTTGGGGCTTGTTAAAAACCCAGTACTTCGTTTCTGTCTCCAGACTTCAAAACGATTTTTTATTTTATTTTTTTTTAGACTTGATAGATGTCTCCAGGTACAGTCCTCTGTTTAACTCTCATCTCCAAGTGTGTGTGGACAAACAAATCCTCCTTGTAGCATCCAAAACAGTGGAAATCATGCTCTCTAAACACCTGTCAGTGGACCATGCACTGCTGCAGACACTTCTACAGAAAATGGGCAAGCAAAACCACTGGCTCCATGCGCGAGAAGTCTTCAGATGTGAGTATTACTTCCAGGTGTATTGGTTGCTCCATTTAATTTAATATGCACTGTAGACAGAGTTTAAGGAAAGCAAAGTGTCTGCTGACTGGATTATAGTTCCTGTGCGGGAATTATGTTGGATCTGACACAGCTGATGAGGCTCAACCAAAGTCTGTATAAACATGTAATCATTTGATCTTAAATGATTCAGACAAATAAATGAATTTTACAGCTGCTGGTTGAACTTTGAATTGAATGGTTACACCAATATGTGCATGCATTAGACTCTCTGAATATGGGGTACTACCCGGGCATATCAGCTCCCTCTGGTTCCATGGCGCTGGTTGTCCCCTGTCGACTAGAGGAGGTGGAGTTGGCTCTCACCTTTGAGATGTTCATCACTGTCAACGCGATGGCCATTCTACAACTTTCAGAGACCACCACTTCCTGCCTCAGCATCACACTGAAACGGTACCGTGTGTGTGCAGCTTTATTACATAATATAGAAAAAATTTTATCCAGTGTATTCGATCTTAGGACATTTCAACGTAATGAAGACATGTTGACTGGTCCTCAGAACTTCAGAGGTTGTCTTTGAGGTTTGAGTCTTGGTTTAAGGGTTAAGATTAGAATTGGGTTTAGGTTAGGGTGAGAGTTGGGCTTAGACATTTAAAGTGCGTTTCCACCAGAAAGCCCCTGGTACTTTTTATTCCAAGGAACCAAAGTCCAAGAAATGTCCCTAGGGTAAAGGTTCCTCTAGTATTGTGATCTACAGGGCTGAGGCCTGAGGAAGAATAAATAAATTAGCCCCCTGACATAAAAGCCCAATGATTGGCAGCAAGGTTGTAAGAATGGCGCATGTAAAATGCTCACTAAGGTTAACATACACCAGTGGAGCAGGGCAGTCTGCAGGCAAAGCTAAAATGCTCATTTTCTGTAAGTTTATGCTCATTTATCAGGTGTGGCTTTTTTTTTTTTAACTTGCTGAGGTTTTATTGCATGTACAGTAACTGGCACAGGGATTGTTAATTCTGTGGAGAAGCCATTCCATAACCAACAAAGCTATATTTTCCAATCCATTAATCTCACTCACTGGTCTCTTCATGTAGGCCTACTGATTAAATGCTCCTTACAAACCGAGAAACCGTTTTTCACATCACTACACTGGTTTTTCTCGCATATGTGAGTCGAAACACTGACACCACAGAGACCTGTGTGTGACCAGTCAGCAACATTCAGCACTGCAGGCCTCGCCCCAACAGTTCTTGGACCTTCAGAAAGTACTACCATCTTGAGTAGGTAGTTTTTTGGGGGGTTAGAGCTACGCCCCAAAACTAAATTTAGACACTGGTTGCTCTGGTGAAAACGTGGGTAGAGGAATTACTGTACATTCCAAAAAAAGGTTCCCTGCTCCCCGAGGAAAGTTCCTCTGGTGGAAATGGAGCTTTAGTTGTGATGGTTAAGAGTTAGGGGTAACAACTTAGTCAATGTATTATGTCAGTGTGTGCTCACAGCTACATGAAAACACAACTGTGTGTGTGTGTGTGTGTGAGAGTGTGTGTGTGAGTGAGTGAACCATGGCTGCATTATATGATCCATGGGTAGATGATGGTCTTGCTTCCTCTTCCAGGACTCAAAGCAGTGAGAGCGAATACCTCTCTGCTGGTAGCCGCCTCCTCGCTGCAGCTTCCATCCCCCAGCCCAAATTAACTGTGCACTACACAGCAGCTAACTCCTTACAGGACCAAACTTTCACACTTGACATTCCCTCGGCTCGGCGATGGCTCCGCTACAATCACTCATGGGCCAGTGAGACGTGGAAACTGTGAACCAAATGGTTACACTACCGCAGTTCCTGTGGTGTTTTTCTCTTAAAACAGGTTATGTTATACAGTCATCGGCTGAATCTTGGGAAAACAGCCAATGAAATTAGGAAAACGAAAGCTAGTGTATTTCTGTTTCCGGCACTAATGGTAGTATTTTATTAAGAAGCAGAAAATGTTTCAGTCACCACTGAAGCCTGTTACCAGAACCAGTTTGTTTTTACCATCCTAAGAAAACACTTTTGTTGACTTTTGTTTTAAAATGTTTTTTTTGTTCCCTCTTGATTTCTCAGCTCTTGTAATTGTCACTGTTTGTGTCATTTCCTGTTGGAAATAATGGCTCTGTTATGGAACAGAGTCCAGCATAAATTTGTAGCGTTCTTACAAATACTGTGCTTTGTTTACTTAATTGTAAACATCAGAGTGTAAATATGTATATATTTATAATGGTGTTTAGTCTTTGACAATAATGTTACTGTATTATATTTCTGACTGGTGCCAGTTCAGGAGGTGTGATTTACATTTTCTTTTGATGTTTTTTTTTATTTAAAAAGTATAGCTTTCTAGTGAATCTTGTCAACAGGAAAATGAGAGCTGGAAAATATTTTCTGGGATTTTTAATTTTATTGAGCCTTTGTTGTACCAGTAAACTCCTCACTGAGAATAAAAATCTCTTTTTCAAAAGTATCCCAGCCTGGCTAAGACAGGCAGCAACAAAGTTTCAGAACAGTACCATAAATACGAGAATATAATGGGTTGTTAAAATACACTGTTGGCACTTTATTAGGAACACTTAGCTAAAACTAAGTCAACTGTATGATCATTTTTAGAGGCTGTAATTTGTATTTCTGTTAACGTGTATTCCACTGTACAGAGAGCTGCTTCTGTTCTTTAGCCTCGATTAAACAATGGAGTGAACAAAATAATCATTGTGTCGGAGTAAGTACTGTTATTTCATCTGTGTAGGCGTAGGCATGTAGGTTTATAGGTTTACCTAAGAAGCTAACTACTGAGTGTAGGTAATGCTATTGGTCATCAATTCCAGTGACCTTTACTTTTTCAAGATATTATGTCTTAATTCAATTCTCTATTCATAAAATGCCAGTTGCCTGGTGGTGTGTTCATCCAATGTAGATGAGTGGTGTGAAAAGCAATGTCTGTAAAACCCATACAGTAGAGAGCCTAGTTTCCTAATAATCAGCAATTACCAATGACTGGGGAGGGTGTCCTTGATACCATTATGAGAATATCAAAGTTAGAGCAGTCCTTGTTACAATGATGTACTGCTGGTTATAGGTGTGATACTGATTTGCTTAATGGCCTTATGATGCATCACTTTGGTAAACCAATACCGGACAGTTAGGTCTGTCTTGGATTTAGTAATTATCTGCAGTTGGTTGGTTTCACTAAGGGTTTGAAAACCGACAACTTATGGTCAGCTGACACAAAAGTGCCAGATGATGTTTAAAGCTAGACATATTTGGTTACTGACAGCATTTTGGATACAGGTGACGGCTTAACTACATGGCTGCCGTTGACCCACGTTGCTATTGATCTCATGTATCTTTATCACTGTTGCCAGGTTTCATGTCTATATACTCTTCAGTGCTGTGACAAAATTGGATTGAAATAAGCACAGTAACACAACTGGCTATGGGAAAATTACACAGTTGACCACTTTTGTTGAAGATAAGACAACTGAGAGAAGTGAAGACAACACAAGCAACCTGTCAGGAAAAGGGAGAATAGACCCAGTAGACTTTCGTATGATCTGGATACATGAATCTCAACTGAGATGTTAACATTGTCAAGAGGCCCACGCATCCGGTCGGTGGATATGATGTAAATAATGGAGAATATTGTATTTGGAAAATGGGCTTCAACATGGGTGTTATGCTCTCTTAATTGTGTTCATCCCCGCCTCAGGGTGACCATGTGACTTTGACTGCCCTCCAGACCTCGGCCTGTGTCATCGCAAGGATGACATTGCATTTGTCATGTGAAAGAACATTCTTCAAACCACTTGTGATGTTTCTGTAAAATCAGTTCACCATCTCTGCTTTTTGTCTGTCACCAGTGTTATTTCCTTTAACTCAGACATAAATGAAGAGGCCTCCCGTGGGCCCACCACCTGCGGGAGGATCCGTAAGGGGCTGGTGCAAAGTGGATTGGGCAGCAGTCGAAGGCAGGG